AATCCCGCTGGCGGTACTGCGGCTTATTGGGAGGTTTAATTTAAAGTTCTCATTTACTTTTAAATACATTTCTTGCTGCTGATGAATTTCTCAAATTCCATTATTAATGAATGTAACCATTTTAAGATATGCAAATATGTGAAAGAAGGTGGCAAGGAAACGGTGGATAAAAAAAGTGTTGGAGCGTATATGGTAAAAGGAGATCAGTGGCACGGTTACGATAATGAGGAAACTATTAAAATTAAAGTAATTTTTATTTCGCTTATTGTTGTTGATAGTCAAAAATAAAAAAGTGATTTGATAGTCAAAAAATAAGAAAAGATAATAAGATAGTCGAAAAATAAAAAATTAAAAAATAACGTTGCCAATATATCTTGCCTTAACTTTAATTTAAAGAGCACCATAAATTTTATAATGTTTAATAAGAAGAAATTAGTTTCGGAGTTTACTCGTGTAATTGTTTTACTTTAGAATTAAAATTTTCAGATGAAATGGCTGAAAGAGAAAGGTTATGGCGGTGCCTTCATATGGGCTCTTGATTTTGATGATTTTAAGGGTACAAGTTGTGGCAAAGGTCCCTATCCACTGTTAAATGCTCTTAATAATGAGCTTCGAGACGGCTTCGTATTTTGGGTGAAGGATTTTACAACTTCGTAATGATTTGTTGCATATCATAAAAATGTTATAATCGGTCGGAACTTAAAGGATTGAAATTTAATCCGGAAATCCTAAAATTCATAATGTAATGCTGTATTTTAAACAGTATTGCAAACGCAACTGGTGCATTTTTGGATATTCTTTGCTTTCTTACAAATGGTCCGCAAAAAATGAATCACGACAAGCCGAAATGTCTATTCAATTAAATTTTTATATTAATTTCGTTCTATACAGATTTTAGATTTAAAAATTAATAAAGCAATCATTTTTAGTCATCAATGTTGGCAAAATCAAATAATGAAATATTGAGGAAAACAGGGAGAGCCTCAGGAAGTAGTGAAATTGAAACGATCAAAAGTGGTTTTGAAACAGTACGAAGAACTTCTGGTTTGTTATCCGCAAGTTAAAATGTCGTTCTTGATCTGTTCTTTTGCTTTAAACACAGCGCAACTTTTCGAGTTTGCTCTTCATGCATTTTGGATAGAATGGAAATGATTGTGGATAGATGAAAAGAAATTTAGGAAAATCAATGTTCTGCTGTAACATTTCAGATATAAAATGTTTGGAGTCATATGGTCTGTTCCCGCATCCTGACGATTGCCATTTATTTATTCATTGCGCAAATGACTATCCATACGTGAAACAATGTCCGCTACATACCTTTTTTAATGATGATATCAAAATTTGCGATCACTTAGTAAATGCGCCGATCACATGCAAATGATTTTCATATTACCAAGAATAAAAGTTTAATGTAAAAGTTGTGGCAGTCAAATGAATTGACCATACTCCTGTAATAATTCATATTATATAGGAGAATAAATATGACTATATGAGGACAAATGTCAAAAATGAGTCTAACGGAATTATTAAAAATGAAAAAATTTGTTATTATCTGTATTTTATTTTGCGTAGCAAAAATCTTTCAACAGTTATCACCCATAACTTAGTAGAAAACATATGAATGATTCGGAAGATGAATAAATCACATGAAAAGGATGAAATTCTGATAAAAAATAAGTACTCAATAAAAAAGGATGAAATCATTATAAAAAGGAAATTCCGATAAAAAATAAATACTCAAAGATAAAAATACTGTTCCATTGCATCAGGACTGGAGTATTTCCATCAAGAATCTTTTATTCCGTTTCCGCATTTTCACTGCTGCATAATTCCTTCCTTTTCTTTTGGCATTCCTTTTGTTTCCTTTACGACAATTCAGCTTAATTTTGATAAGAGAGTTTGTAGTTGGCTAATGTGATGACACTCAATTCGAAAAAGGAAACAGTCAAAGGCGAATTTCAATTATTTTCAACAATTCTCATCATTGAATGATATGTGCGATAGAAGGAATTTTCATAATCTCAGATGAAGAAAAGTATTTTGCAGTTGCGCTTCATCTTTCTCTTCCATATTATGATAAAAGATATAATAAAAACTTCCAATAATAAACGTGGCAGCATTATTTTTTCTAGCTTTCTGCTTATTTTTAATGTTTTTCCAGCTTTCTAGCTATTTCTTGTATTTTCCCAATTTCCTAGTGTTTTTCCAGCTTTTGTAGTTGTTTTTCTAACTCCTTAATACTATCTACGTCAGCCTAACTTCGGGATTTTAATTAACTAATTTGGTTAATCAAATATCTTCGAATCAAATACTTTGTAGAGCGCTTATTTTTGACACTCTTAATGTTCTTAAAAAAAACCTTACTTCATTGTTATGTTTTTATGCTTAACATTTATTAATAACTGCAGAAATTATTTTTTTTTTTTATTTTTGGATGTGTTCGCTGAGAACTTTTGAAAAAATTTGTTGTTATGATTTTGATTTTTCACCGTTTTTCATTTTTTTCTCTTATATCTTATTGTGTTTTCCAGCTCTTTCGCTTTACCTAATTGCAAGATTTTAAAATATCTGACGATTTACAAAATGTGCAACATTATTAATTCTTTATTGTTAATATTGTTTGCATTTTATTTTGCAACTTCCTGATTTTATTTCCAAGCTATGCAAACATTTCGTATCTATAAAATCTGTTTCAAACTTAAGCCTACCAATGTTTTTTACAGTAATCCATTTTTGATTCCCATATAACTCACCCCAATTTCATGTATCTACCGACTTTTATTTATATTTTCATTCATTCGTCCAATTTCACTTTTATTCCAATTTGAGCATATAAATATGAATAAAATTAAGTATTTTGTATGATGATATTAAGATATGAAAAATTTCCAGCTTATATTTAACTTTTGATATGCACAGTATAATTCATTTTCTGATTTCCGCACAAAGATTGAAGATGTGAAAATATTTGACCTTTACCAAAATGTGGAGCATTATTATTCATATTAATTTTTTCAGTATAATAATGCACTGTCCCATTTATTGTCAACAAAAAAAAAAAATCCCAAACGCTGAGCTGCTTTTAATAATATAATTTTAATAATAATTTCATATATTTCCATTAATTGATTATTTTATTATATTCCTTAAACATACACGTTGTCGTCTTCTTCTCTGACCGTGATAATATTTAGGGTTTGATTGCAATCTTTCAGTTACTGTGAACTTCAAACTTTGGTAATTAAACCATAGCAATGATAGTAAAAACACAATATTAAAACAAGAAACAAGCGGTACAAAGAATAAATCAAAACACATAACCTCAACGGAAGAATAAGTAGAAAGAATGAAGAGATGAATGATTTGATGTCTTATATAGGCAAAGTATACGTGCATATCATAACGCGGGAAAATAAGGAAAGATATTGGAGGATATAAGAGCAAAGGAGATCATGATTGGAGGCAAGGATGGGAAAGGGATATGCAGTGCAAGATGAATCATTTGACTGTGCTATTGGTTTAAACGGGCACATTATAATTGACGCTATGAACTTGTATTAAGACATTAATATTACATCTATGAATATATGTGTATATATAAATATATCTAAACACATTCTTGAAATTTCGCGACTTTCGCGACAATGTACACTAAGTGTTGCGTTGTGCAGAAATATACAGTTTGCTGCAATGGTATCGTTTGGAATTTAAGCATTCAAACACGTTAACACATTAATTAATAATAAAAAAAGTGATCTAATGAATTAATTAGCTATAAATGATTTTTACGAAAA